TCATAATTTAAATAATAATCACATTTCTGCCCTATTTCAGTAACAACCATGCAGCCTCATTTTTTGATAATTAATAATTAGTCTGTCTTCTCAGATTCTCTTTTAAAACTAAATAAGTATAATTATTATTTTTTTCGTTTTTACAATTATGGCTGTTCATCTAAAAGCACTCTTATTTCTGGTCTTGTTATCCCTTCTGGTAATTGAAATTAAAAAAATTAAAATACAGGTGGATTTCCAGTCGTCCTGGCAAAAGCCTTCATATTATTAGCATATGCTCCCTCTTTTGTAGCTCACTGATAAGAATAGTGGAGAGAAGCATAAATATGATGGAAGTAACTGAATCAAAAGAACAGATTGGCGATTAGTGGAAATCAGATTAATTAAACTAAAAATTTTGATTTAGAGGAACTATAGAATAAAATCGATGAAATCACTGGTTGGCAGTTAAATCAGATGATAAAATTATTCACAATCCTTATCCGTCGAGTAATCCGTCATCTTTCGCAATTAAGGCTAATGAGATTTTTTTCTTTATGTCGAAATCCACTAGCGTTTAAAATACAAATAACCAAATTAATTTCTAGAAGCATTTGTTCTCGAAAGGGAAAGATTTAGAAGATATATTTTGAAGGGCAATTTCAAAAAATAAGAACATTGTGAGAGTTAATTAAAGGAAATAAATGTAGGTAATACTTTTTAATTTTCGGATTTTCTTCTTTGATATTATGTAATTTGGACCTAAATTTGGAAATTTATTAACTACACTTATGCAGCATTTCTTTCCAGGAAATTTTACATTCTGCACTTAAATTTTTTGATTATATATTTTCCTCAATTTTCATGTGCCCTTTGGGAAGGTTTTTCAAAATTTACTCCCTTCTTACCAGATGGTTCGGTTTTCGCGTGGTTCTCAGTGCAGTAATTAATTTATTCGTTTAATCGAGAAAAAAAATTATTTGTTAACAGTAAATTTGAAGTACATAATTTTTTTCGTCTTGCGTGGAAAATAGCTAAAATCGCTTTTAAAAACAATTCCGTTCTGACAAGAACCTTCATATTAATTAGTATGTGTTCTCTCTTTTGTGACTCTGAGAGTTATATAGAAACAGTGCCGATAATAATTAATTTATAAGTGTTACAGTTGGTCTTCTACTATAGATTAGAATTTATTTGTTTACAAAATTTATAATTTATAATATCAAAATAGAATTTATTTACAAAATTTTTCATCTATAAAAAATAAAACTTTTAGGCTGCGAAGAAATTATCAATTGTCAAGTGAGAATTCCTTCTAAAATTTCGCTTCTTATATTCATTATCGTTCAATTTAACAGTGAACATGAAAAAAGATGATTTAATCGGATTAAAATTTTATGGTGCGCATTTTCGAGATTTTTTCTAAGATCGCTCACCATTTCTAACATTGTGTTAGATTCGCTCCTATGCTGGACTATTTGCTAGGGAATCACTTGGCGATAGAAATGTAAGTTGGTAACCAGCATTACTTGGTTCTCGGAATTGGTAGTCGAAAGTCGAAATGTATAACAATAATCTAAAATCGATTCCTTTTTGCGGGAAAAAAGATGGCTTTCATAGACCTTTAATGAAATAAAATTTCAGAAAACTTTTCAAGTCGTCTAATTAAATATAATATAAAATTAAAAAAGATCTATGAAAGCCTTTTTAATATTTATAAATTTAATTGCTAGGCTCAAATGCTATTTACTTCGTGAGCTGGTTCGATATTATTTAATAAATTAAATTTTAAAATCACCTGAACAATCCGCTTTCTTAGAAGACTTAAACTGCTTATAGCTTATAGTTTCTATTTTTCATCTTTTCTGCTCTTAATTTCAATTTTTTCTCTTTTTTTACAAACCGTTAATTGTTAATTTATTTAAATTTCTTAATCATTTATTTACATCAATTGATTTTTTGCAAAAAATAAGTGAAAATCATGGAAAATAAGAAAAATTGATGCACTCAAAATTAATTAACCAGAAATTTTTTCTATAAAAATGCGATTTCTATTTTCAACACCTAAATGAATCAAGATTGATGAAATCATGGAACCGTCGCGAAATTACCATAAAGACAAAAATCCGTGTCCATATAGCTGCAATTCGTTTGATCTTGATTCATTTAGGTTGCGAAACATCGCCAATGAGAGGGAAAGATATTGAGAAGCTACTAGCCTTTGACCACGTATGTCTAAGGTACATTCTACGGATTCGCCGAGCAGATAAAATCGCACATGATATCCACTTTCGCTCAAATACCACCTATATTAAAAATGTTATCGCCTTTGCTGGTTAGGACACGTTCTCCGTCGTCCACCACAGGAGTTGACGCATATTTCGCCATTTGCTAAACACTATGATGGCGTCAGAAGCGAGGAGGACCGGTCAAGACTGATGCAATTAGGAAAGAATTTGAACGTATGGGGGACCAGCGATATATGGACTTAGACGACGGAAAAAGGAATGACTTCTATTACTATTAGCAATGGCATCGGACCGGGCGGCTTGGAGACGTCTTATTCTCATAGCCAGCGGAGCCAGCCTAAGCAGCAGTGGTGAGAGTTGTTAGAAGAAGAAATGAACCAAGAATTTCAATGGATATTAAATGAATAGATCGCTGTTTCAATGAATTTAAAATAGTCTACTTTATTCTATTTTTCGCTCAAATTTTTCACTCAATTTTTCTCTATTTTCCTCTCTTTGGATCCTTTTTTTAAATATTTAGGATTTTAACTTTATTTTAGGATTTTAAGGTACTTCGAAATATTAAAATATTAAATATTTGTACAAGAAAAAAAGTTGCGTACTCAATTCATTTCTAACCACTGAAAAGAGAAATAAAAAGTTCTTGGTCGGTCGTTCGTAAATAAACTACTTTTCATGCCTCCTATCGTTCTATTTTATTCATAAAAATTTTCATTTACAATAATCATCAATCATCTGAACTTTTTGCAGGTCATAATAAAATTCCAGATTTAAAAATATGTTATTGTTTTTGTGATTCGGATTTTGTATTCAGAATTTAAATATGAATTTGCTAGGAGACTTATGGTACTATTTATAAATTACTGCAAAAAAAATTTTTGAAAAAAATAAACACAGCTTATTTATCTATTTGAACATTAAGATAGTTTTTCGCAGGATTAATTTGGGCCATGATTTTAACATATAAAACGCGCTAGATGATAAAGGAAAAAGAATTCATGAAATATATAATTTGCATGAACTGATGATTTTTGATAATTTGAAATTAATTATTAATACTACTTATTTCATTCTCATTTTTTCATTCTCATTTTTTATCCTGATTTTTTTCCAAATTTTTTTCTAATTCGTCAGTACTGCTTGCTTTTTGAACAAATAGTTTCCAATTATTTTAAATCACTAAAAAATATGGAATTATTATGATTCTTCTATTTCTCCATAATTGAATGTCTTTCACGATTTCCATCAATTTGCGATTTAAAAGAATTATTTCTGGACTCTTCTTTAAGTGAAAATTTTATTTTCTTATGCACATATTTAATAAATTCAAAATTAAATAATATTCTTCAAGCAAACTCAAATCTTTTGTTATTTTCAATTTTTTGGCCTTTCTTGTTGGCATTTATCGCACATTCGTCTTATTTGAAAATTTCTTTTTTCTTTGATTAAATTAAATTGCAAAGCAGTTATTTTATGTGAAATGCGACTGCGATACGCGTTTTGAGCACCTTATTTTATTTTACTTAAATAAATTAAAAACATTTTCAGTCTAATGAAAAAGAAGAAAATGACAGGTTTGCAAGAATCTTCATGAAGACTATTCATGCAGTCGGGCGAAGCAGTTACGGGCAGTCAAGACTTCAAAGCTGATGATTGTATCGTCTATATGGTATAAACTAAATTTAATAAAATTCGACAGAATCATTAATAAAATACAACCATTCGAAAAAGATGCATAAAGTCTTTTCAGAAGTCTGGCAGATTTTATGCTTCATAGTGTTAGACAAGTGGTTTGCGCCCATCATTGTTGTTTAGATTCGCTTAGCTGGCTAGCTAATACGGTTAAAAATTCTTGCTAGGGAATGATTTGGCAACAAAAATATGGGGAAACTGAAGCACTCGGATTTTTAAAAGATTAGCTTACTTCTACTGAGGTAGAGTCCCATTACTGGCACCGTGAAATGAGAGCAACAACCCTTAACCCACTGATTCATCAAATTGATTCGATTTAACCTTAATTTTATTTGTTAAAATATATTTAATAAATGGCTTTTTGTCTCATGTTTGAATCTCACCAAATCTTCCTAAATTCTTGTTAATTTTATTTCTCGATCCTTAAGCTTAGTACCAGAAATTTATCAATATATCAATCTATAATTTACTGCAACCATTTGAGATAACAGTTGGAAATTTCCGTTAATTTCTTAAAAAAAGAATTTCGTCGGCTTTTACATTGTTCAAATATTTATTTATTTTATATTTATTTGCTCGTATTTTTTTCTTTGACATTCCGAACAATAAAAAAATTGAATAGTTTTTTTTATGAATTCAATTTAAAATGCACTGGAAAAATTGAACTGAAAAGTAAAATTTTATTTTTGTAAAAATAAAATTATAAAAATTTTTGTAAAAGAAATTACCAGAAAAATCAGCATACGGCAAATCTCAATATTAATAAGTAAAAATAAAAATGCAGAGAAAGATTTGGTAGATAACCAGGACGAAAAACTAATACCGTTGCTGAACAACAACTTATCGGGCATTTGCTTTGCTCACTGGTGGTAAGATTCCTCCTCTTCAGGGATTCATCCTACAGTCTTCTACCATATAATACCATTTAATTATTTTATATTTTATAATCATTACTAACCAAATGCATTGAATCATATGAATTAATTCAATTAAAATGATTATTAATAATATTGTGGAATTTTGTGGAATTAAGCTAAGTGAATGTTATCAATTAGTTTATTTTAGGACAAATACTATGATCCTTCAATGAATGGCATAGTGATCTTTATATTTTTTTTGATCTATTCAATAATATTCATACTAGGCGTGGTTGGAAATGCTTTTGTAATTTTTCTTACTCTCAAACACCGTAAACTTCAGACCGTACAGGTAATTTTATTCGTTTCATCAAACGATATTGTGGAATTCATATTTACCGAGAGAGATTGGATCCACAGAGCAATGAAAAAAAAGTTCGCCAAATTCCATGGTTACAAAGATTAAAAGAATTCTGAATAAAAAAAAGTTTTGAATCGCAAAACCACGCTAATCCAGGCTAAAAAATTGATAAGCAAAAAAAAGTGGGGTAGTGGACAAAATCTCTCAAAAATATTTATTTGTAAGATAATTAGAATGAAAGTAATTGTCTGAGAAGGATACTTCGTTGTCGATTCTTTATATCTTGCTATCATGCAAAGCAAATTCTTGTGGTCATTAAACCAGTTCGCGAGGTAGTTTTGGCCACCTTCTTCCCCTCTCATTTTTCCTGTTTGGTATTTTTTTCCATGTAATTTTCTTACCATAATTTTAGAACATGTTTATTTTAAATTTGGCTGGTGCAGATCTTGTTGTATGTATATTTTCTCTTCCTATCACTCCCATAACGACAGTTTTCAAAACATGGTACTTCGGTGCGACAATGTGTCATGGATTACCATGGATGCAAGGCATTGCAATCTTCATTGGTACTTTTAGTTTATGTGCAATATCCGCTGATCGTTACATCTTGGTTGTAATGCCGACTAGAAAACTTATAACCAAAACGGTAATACATTGTTTGTCAAATATTCAGCTTTCTCGTGGAAAAATTATGTTAACCATAATAGACAATAATTTGAAGATATCTGATCATGTAAATATAAATATTTTTAATTAACTCGCGAATCCTTTTTGTGCCGTTATCCATCGAAAACAGAAATAAATATTTGCCAAGCTTTGCTAGTCGTCACTCATCATTTTAGCGATCTAAGTGGATTACTACATTACTGTGGACTTTATCTGCAATTTTCACGTTGCCATACGCTATGTACATGGATCTTGTCAATGCTGACGGAATTTGTGGCCAATTTTGTACAGAAAAGTGGCCTGACTCTGATTTGAGGAGAATTTATACAGTAAGTCTTCCCATATCACAATCTATTCAGTAAAGGCTATTGTAAAAACCAGCTCTCAGGTCATCAAAGCAGTGAAATTGTTGCAACAAGTACTAATCTTTAACATTTTCGAAAATTATGGCACTTTTCTCTTTTTCATTTCAGCATAAAATGAAAGCTGAACCAAAGTAAAACACCTTATAATACAGCTACAATATAAGAATATGGTTTCTAAAATCATCCACTATTTCTAATTTGGCTGACTCCACAGGTTATTAGGAGCTTCGCCAGGGAACCACTGGGGATAGGACAACAAAGGTGTTACATGGATTTCAGTTTTCGTGGCGGATTTATCCTCGCTGTGAACATGATCGCAAGACAATTTTAGTCAAAACAACAACATTATTTAACCACATGAGAAATTATAATTCCTTTCAAATGAAGTGAAGCAAGAAATTTTAAAAATGTATTCATTTCATTATTGCAGATTTTCGTTTTTGTTGTGCAGTTTATTATTCCATTGACCATTATGTTTATATCGTATTGCCGAATATTTGCTGAACTTCGACGACGAACAACAAAGAAAATAAAGTGATTTACAAGAATATTTTTAATATGTATTTCATTAAAATAAGTGATGACTTTATTGCTTTACCAAGTAGTTTTCGTCAAATAATGAGCCAAATAATGCAATCAGCCTGACCAAAGTGCTGAGATTTTGTCATAGAAAATAGAAACGAAACCGATTCAATAGAAGATGCCTTTAATCTTTAGGCGCTTAAAAGAGCGATCACTGATGTTGACAATAAAAACTGATTGTGAGACAAATATTGGACAAAACCTGGTCATTGAAGACGAGTCACAATCGCATAAAGTATATTTACCAACATTGGATTAAACCTAGGAACGGAAACCAAATTTTAGTTATTATTATTCGCTATAATTTTCACCTTCTCTAATATCAATGTAACAACACAAATTACGTGCTCCATGTTTTATGAAAAATTTAAATTTAAGCATTTTTGAAAAAAAAATTTCTGAAACTATTTGTTTTGAATTCAAGCAATTTAGCGATTTTTCAAAATTTGTATTGTAAGAAATTAACTTTCAACTATGGAAACAGAAACTTTCCTACTTCTAACAATACTTTTATTTTGTAAATTTTTGAAGGACAAACTGAAATGTGAATTGGTTACAAATGCTCGTCGTAATACTATATTATTGGTGAGTATGGTTGTAGTGTTTGCTGTCTCTTGGTTACCTCATAATATTGTATCACTTTTAATGGAATTTGATGAAAACATTTTCGAGCGTGATGGTGAAAGCATTATTTATTTAATTAACCTATTTACGCACTGGTATAAATTTTTATGTATAAATTTTTCATTTTGCTTTTTCGAAATATTCATAAGATATCTGTAAGATTAAGAAATATGCAAAAATATAGGAAGACCGCTGCTTAACTATTGCCATTCTGGTAAAGAAATCCTCTTTGTATATATATATATATATATTTATAATAAAATAAGATCACGTATAAAGAGTGAAAAGAGGAATTTTTTTCTATAATGTGATGGTAATTAAATTTTCTTTCCTTAATGAAACGTATTGGAACGAAATCTTTTCCAAAGTCGTAATATACGAGGATATTTCGATAATTTAGTTAAGAGGAAATTATCTGTGTCCTTAAAATGAACTTTTAATAATGATATTTATAATTTTTCATATTAAAGAAATTTTTTTCAGCATCGCAATGACGAATAATGTTTTGAACCCGATTCTATATGCCTTGTTAAATCCACTTTTCATAGAATTAATCGCCAAATCCTTGTCATGCTTTGATAATTCACTTTCTACAAAACAAGCTAGTGATGCAAAAGTAACAACAACTAATATTCAGCAATGATAGCTTTAAGACATAAAAAGATACGAATTCTGATGGTTTTTGAAGAGAAATCATTTATACACTGCACAATAAGTAAGTAGCTTAACTAATATTGAAGAAAATAAAGATTTGATATGTCATACAAAATAATGAACATAAAGAATATAAGGATAGACCGAATAAAGACATAAACATACAAAAAATGCCTTTAATTTTAAATCCTGAATCCCGAAAGAATCCACCAGAATCAAGAAAGAATGGATGGCTTTGAATCAAAATACCGTAAATCTTCTTTTCTTTCCCTCTCTCTATTTTTGCTTCATAATTTTAACTGAACGAACTTTGTATAAAATGATTATCTTGTGCAAATGGATTTCAGCGCATTTCAAAAAAAAAATTCAATTTTTTTGTCGATGAATTTCGAAATTATTAAAATAATTACAATTTGGGATTAAATATCAGTGTTTGTGGAAAGGAAAACGAGGTAAAGAGGCAATGGCGAAAATTCCAAGAAACTGAATATACCTTACGATTTTTTGGGAAGAAGAGTACGAAGAAGTTCGATTGGAAATGGAAAGATAACTGTTGAGTTCTTTTCAGCACTAAAACGACAAAGTGGTTGAAAAATGGAATTTGAAAATTTCAAACTTAAAAAAAATAAAACAGCTTGGAAATTTTAAATGAAAATCTCGAAAAAAGATTTAAAAAATCTTAAAAATATCGAAAATTGAAAGAAAGCAAAAAGTTCTTAAAAATTTTATACTCTTAGAACTTATTTATTGAAATCTTCAAATTGTCAATAATTCAAACAAATCTCCTGCTAAGTTCCGTTTATGTGAACAAATATTTAACAATATTTCATGTTTTAATAATACGTAGTGTTACTGGTTAGGCTGGCACCACTGAATACAGTAAGATGCTTCCAAGTTAATATTTAAGAAATGCCTGTTCATGTTATTTTTTAAAAATATTTCTTGAATTACCTTATGGAGTTAAGTGTTTGCAAATAACGCAATTGTATTGCGGATGGAGATTCACAAATGACATTCGCAGCTTCATTTAATGCATGTGAAGCTTTTTTCTCCCCTTCAGCTGCAATAACCTGGAGACAAAAATTTTGCATAACCAAAATTGAGATAAAAATAAAAAAAGTGAAACTTATGCATAATAAACCTTAGCACGAGCTTCTCGAGCAGCTTCTGCTTCAGCTGCCATGGCTCTTTGCAACTGAACCGGTAGGCGAACATCTTTAACTTCTACTCGTTCTACTTTAACACCCCATGGATCAGTAGCCTCGTCCAATGTGTTCTTAAAATTTCGAATATGATAAAATCTTTGAAGTATTTTTATTTTATATTGAAGTATTTTCTGTTTTCCCCATTATTTCTTCTTCTTCTAACAGTTCTCACCATTACTAGTTGGGCTGGCTCCAACCCTTACAAGGGTAAGATATAAGGGTAAGACGGTTCCAAGCAGCGCGGTCTGACGATACAGTCGACAGTAATGGAAGCCATTCCTTTTTCCATCATCTAAGCCCATATATTCTGGCCCACCTATACGTTCAAAATTTTTTCTGACCATATCAATCCAGGTCTTGATTGGTCCACCTCGCAAACCATCACACAGAATAACGAAATATAAATAATAAATAACAAAATATGCCTCAACTCCTGTGGGACGACGAAGAACGTGCCCTAACCAGCAAAGACGACGCTCTGTGATAACAATATTTATGCAAGTGGTATTTGAACGAAGGTGGATGTGATCTTGTGATATCCGCTCGATGGATTCGTAATATGTAGCTTAGACAAGAGTGGTCAGAGGCAAATCTCATTGGCCATGTCTCAGAACCATATAGTAAGATCGAACGGATCACGGCAATATAGATGCGGACTTTTGTTTTTATGGTGATTTCACGACGATTCCATAAAGGTTTCGTCAACCGGAAGAACGCATTTCTAGCTGCCGTGACTCGAGTTACAATATCATCTTTTGCCTGTCCATTTGGTATTAGAATAGATCCAAGATATCTGAAATCAGGCACTTCCTCAACCGGCACTGAATTTATAAAAAGAGACATTTTATCAGCTTTTTGTACATGAGACGAAAAGACTTTCGTTTTGCATACATTGATCTGGGTCCTATTCTTGCTGCAGTTTCTGACGCGTTATTACTTGCATTTCGTTATAACTAACAGGACTACATCATCAGCGTATTCAAGATCTGTGATACGATGCTCTGGACTAATTCGGACACTTCTTGAGTGATTGATGAAATTGCCAACAAGCGGTGTCCATTATCCAGTCTATTGCATAGTTGAATATTGTGGGAGAAAGGACACCTGTTCTTATTTCGAAGGAATAATAATCTGTCAGCTCCCCATATACACAGACCTCCGCCGACGTGCCCTTTATGGGTCGAATGTTTTTCTCTGGAACATCGTCACGTTCCATCACCCTCTAAAGCGCCGCTCTATCAATTGAATCAAAGGCAGCTGCAAAGTTGATGAAACACGTGACAATGGGTTGCAAATATTTGAAGCGATGTTCCAATACTTTTCTTAACGTGAATATCTGGTTAGCAAAACTGCACGCTGGTCTGAAACCAGTTTGATTAGGGCGCATTCTGCTGTTCCGTACTTCCATAAGCAGCAGGAAAGCAAAAAATTTTCACATTTTCACTGAGACGTCTAGTAGGCTGATTCCTCGATAATTGTTACAGTATATCCTATCATCTTTCTTCAGAATTGAGAGCAGAATTGCTTTGCTCCAATCATCTGGTAATTTCTTTTTTCCGTACTAAACAGTACATTTGTTGGAGGTGCCTTATGAAGGACAATGGACAGCATTTAAAAAGCTCAGTCAGAAGACCACCTTGTCCTGGAGTTTTATTGGCCTTAAGCTTATGGATAACTGAAATTATTTTTTCTTCTGTTGGAGGCTCGCAATTGCAAGCGTATGCTTCAGCAAACGTATCAGCTATATCAGAGGCAACAGATGGCGCTTCATGGTTAAGTTTGGCCTCAAAGAATTCTTTCCATCTTATGAGCTGACTATGAGCCATCCTTACTAGTTTTGATCACTACGCCATTGCTGTTTCTTACCATTTCATTGACCGTTCTCCGAGTCATAGTTGCTTATGAAAAAAGCAGAATAGTTTCCTATTGTCGCCTAATCGAGCCGCCACCTCCATTCTTGAGACCATGTCACTCCAATAGAGTTTTCTATCACGCCTTGCTGCTTTCGCTGCAAATCTTCGAAGCACCTGGTAGTCAGGATCACCTGACATTCGTGCTTTGGCAGCTTTTTCAGACAATAGGAGAGTTCTTTCCGATACCCTACTAGCGCACTTCCTACTAGTATGCCCTAGGGTGGAAGTGGTTGATTTTCGGAGATATTCCTTTAGTTTCGACCAGTATTCATTTGCCGTTCCAGAAAAATCACTAATATTTATTGAGATGCTTTAATAATTCGGTTTGAAATGCGCTTACTATTCCCCAATTTTTTAGTTTGAGATGGTTGAAGGATCTTGGAGGATGCTATTTTCTGTGAGTTGTCAATTTTATGCGGATCTTGGCTCGAACCATAACGTGGTCAGATCCATGAAAATTGCCCGTTTTAGCTCCGCGATAGGAACTACTATCTAGTACGGAACTCTTCCAACAGCGACTGACTATAATATGATCAATATGATTGAAGTGTTGATTATCCGAGGAGTTCCACGTGATTAGATGTTTTCTATGATGCCGGAAGCAAATATTAGTGACAAAAAGCTCTTCGGCATAACGAAGAAGACGTTCTCCATTGGCACAACGGTCTTCGATGCCATATTTGCCAATTGTTGAGGTCATCGCAGCTGCATTATGACCTACACGAGCATTCCAGTCTCCCCCGATTATGACCATGTCATGTTTCGGTAGAGACTTCGTTAGCAGTTGAAGTTCCACATAGAACTTGTCTTTACCACGGTCATATGCCGACAGCATTGGAGCATAGACACTAATGACCGAGATATTGCAGAACTTACCCTTAAAATCGGCATAGGCCATACGGTCGTTTACCGGTTTCCACTCAATCAAAGTGGAATGGGCCTTGTCATGACAATCGCTACGCCATTTTGCCCCGAGTTATCCGAAGCATCACAATGATATAGCCAGTACCTCTGATCCGAGCCAGGATCCAGGATTAGTAATAACTCGAGACCCGAAATGAGGAAGATGGACCTTGGACAAGCAAGCGACATCCATACTATATTTTGAAAGAGTGTGGACAGTGATCGCTTGACTTGCAATGTCCATAAGCTTTTTGGCATTCCATGCTTATACAGCGTGCAGGGAGGTAATCTCCTTGATAGGTTTTAAGTAATTACCCTGATTACCCTGACTTGCGAGTACATTTTAGCCTTGCGATCGCTTTAAAGTCCGGATTGCATACTTATCGCATGTACCACCGGACTCGGAGTATCATGTGCGTCGGGAAACACGGACGCCTTATCAAGTATATCTGACCCTTTCACCGCAGTCACTTGGGGATAGAATTACAGGTGAGTCCCCAGCAGCCACTCGGATTTTTGACATAATAGTAGGTTTACTCCTGCCAAAGATAAAAAAGAAAAGAATTTGAAGAAAATAATAAATAATAAAATAGATAATGAAACTTTAAAAAAAATAAAAATAAACAGGCAATTGAATTTAAAAAAATATATATAACTATATGTATAGATTTAAAATATATATATATATTATTTATACAATTTAATTGATTTGATTTATAATTTGTTTTAATTAATTGATTTATTTTTAATTTACTTTATTTTAATCGTTGTTTGGTAAAAAAAAAATTAAAAATTTAAGAAGACTTAGCTGAATTAGTAATGAAAAATAAATTCACAGAAATAAATTGAGAATATTTTTTGAAACGATTGCTCAGCAAAAAAAAAATTTTCTCCAATAAAAAAAATTTTTCTTCCAAAAAAAAATTTTTTTACCCATTATTTGTTTACAGTAATTCAAAAATCCCTAAAATTATATCTCTAAAGTGCTGAAAATAACTTTAACAAATTTTGAAGATAAGAAAGAATTTAAAATTAATTAAGATTTTTTAAATTTTAAAATTAAGAATTTAAAATTGTTATATAATTTGAATCAAAATTCTTTTTTGCAAAAAATAAATGGAGAAAATGTGCGCAAAAGACCTAAAATAAATAAGCTTAAAGCCAGGATTCTCCTTCTTTCTTCTAAAAGCTCTAATTGCTGGTTAGGCTGGCTCCACTGGCTATAAAGATAAAACATTCCCAAGCCGCTCAATTCGATGCCATCGTTGAAAGTAACGGAAGCTGAATGGTCTATTCTTTTTCCATCGTGTAAGTTCATATATTGCTGGTCCGCCTATATGTTCGAAATCTTTCCTGACTTTGATGTTGATATCGCAATAGCTTCAATAAGGTTTTGCCAACAGGAAGAAAGCATTTCCAGCAGCCGTTAGCAAGGTTTTAAATTCGTCTTTCGCTTGAACGTTTGCGATTAGAGTGGAACCAAAATATTTAGAGCCTAGCACTTCCTCAAACGCGATGAATTGATACAAAAAAAAAGCTGTCAGCTTCTCGTATATAGGAAGAAAGCAGACAAACTCTTCGAAATAAGAACTGGTGGCCACCAAAACTGTGCGCTTTGCCCTACAATATTCAAATATGCGATAGACTGGATAATGGATATCGCTTGTCGGCACTCGAGAAGATAAATCACTCCAGAGTACCACAGATCTTGAATACACTCATCGTACTTTTTTTTTGGTAATTATAGCGAAATGCAAATAGTGCTAAATAATGTGTCGGCAGAAAATCGGATTCAGAATCAGTAAATAAAACTGGACGCTCATATATAATATTATTTCTCTTCTCCATACCAGATAGCACATTGGTTGAAGATATGATTTGAAGTATAATGAACAACATTTGAAGAGTTCGGACCGAGAGATTGACCATTTCCGGGAGATTGGCCCTAAGCCTTTGGATAACAGAAGTTTCCTACTCATCTGGTGATTCGTAGTTGCAAGGATATGCTCGACGAGCCAATCAGTCCGTGTCCGTGATATAACAGATGCTCATCATATTAAGTTTGGGCTCAAAGAATTCCTCTCACTATCCTTAATAGCCTTAACACCATTATTATCATTCCATCTTCCCAGAATTATAGTCGTTTTATGAAAAAGGTGGAATAGTTTCCCATTATCCTAATCGAGCCGATGTCTCCATTTTCAATGCCATATTACTCCAGTAGCGATATCTGCCCTACCGTATTGTTGTTGTCATTGTGTTTTTTCCTATAGCTATAGATTTTCCTATAGCCAAAATCTCCTGTCATTCCTTCTTTGGCAGCCTTTTCGGACAATTGGACAGTTTCTTTCGATACCCAACCACTGAAAATCTTGGAAATCTCGAACTATTATATGGTCTAATCCAAGAAGGTTACCAGTTTCAACATCGCAAAAAGAATGACTATCTGTTATGAAACTCTTCCAATGGCGACTAACTAGGATATGAACAATCTGATAGGATATTTGCTTATCAGGAGAGCTCAATGCGTCTAGATTATCTGAAACCGGAAGCATGTCTTTAACGTTGGATTATCAACAGGAAAAACTATGAATATACTAAGAAAACTCGGAAGGAGTCGACAAATAACAAGAAAAGTAAATAGAAATTAAATAAGTAAGCGGTTACTGCTAGCGATTTTTAAGCTAGCTCAAGCTAGCTCAACTGGCTCTTCATCTAGATCAGACCTGATCACCTAAGTAGAAATGCAAACTGATCGCTAGCAATACTTGCACTTTTTAAATGACAGGTTTATTGATGGCGTAAATCACTGAGTGCGATAATCTAAGCTATTAACTACTGCGCTATCCGCATTATGAACATCAAACAAGCACTTTCATTGTAAATAGAGAAGAATTTGAAGCAATTCTTTGAAATAATATATTAAAAAGACATACGAGATTTTTGAACTAGTAAAATATATTTATCCAAACGAAAAAATTATCTTATCAAATTACCCTATCAACAAGACTAAAAAAAATAATGTTAGGTTTAAGTTAGGTTTCTTGATTGGTTTTTATAAATTTATAAAAAAATGATTTATGCACGATCCACATGCTAATTGGTTCTGTCGATCCCTACGGAATTCTTTGATTTCTCTTTAAATTTGAGTAAAATTTGAAATTTGAGTAATAGAAGAAATGAAGATACGGAAAGATATGAAATTTTAATTTTTTCGCGATTAATTATTGGAATAAATTGCCTATCGAAGTAATATCGTCAACTTTTAGTTAAATAAAACAGATTTTTTAGCAGAAACACATATGGAATTATAATAAAGATTGAAATTGATACGGATTTTTTAAATTAATATTGCTAATGTTTTGTTAATAATTTTTATTACTACTATTAGCACACGGCTATTGATCCGAACAAAAAATTTTGATAAAAAGTTTGCAAATGTGATAAAATAAATAGTCGAGAAAATTTCTCTATCTCAAATTTGTTTTGAAAAAAAATTATCCATATTTTGCAATTTCAGCGATTCTTAATTCAGCTAAAGTTCAGCAAAAGTTATAAAAGAAGTTTTTATAAAAGAAGTTTTAGGGAAATTCATTACTTGCATTTGCAGCGATATCGCATCGCGATCACTAAGCATTTCAGCTAAAGTTCTCGTGCCTAGAATATTCCTCAAAGTTGTTTGTGCTAAAAGCTTTGTCGATCTGCTAGCATCTTCGACATTTGTTATCGATATTGTTGCATTTGATATTCGGAAATATACAACTGCATCGACGGCCACCGTTACTGAATCTTTCGAAAGAATCTGCATTGAAAAACGCGATACTTTAAATGAGAAATTAATCGTAATTTCCCATGATTCCCTAATTTCCCAATCCAAATCCAAATTTTTTAAATTTCATGCGAAAATAGAAAATAAAATGGAAGAATTATTTATGTCAAGATTAAATCGCAATATTCAATTCAATTATCTCATATTTCTTAGCAAAAAATCGTTAAATTTTTCCATTCAATTCAACTATCGAATTTCAATGAAAGAATTCGCCTTTTCGTTTTATCCTTATTTTATGGCTTTTTTTTTACAGTGTTCAATAAGCATGCATAAACTGATTCTATTCATTATTCAAAATATTTAGCAACTATGAGTCTCATATAGCCGTTCATGCAGAAAAAAAGACTTTGATATGACCCATTATTTGTCATTAGGTTCGCTCCACTGATTGTTAGCAGGATGAAAAAATTTTGCTAATCAGCTGAGAGAATCAACAAAAATATAAGTTGGTCCCAAACAGATCCGAATTAGTGACATAATTATGTTTAAAAATAATGCCTATCTTTATATTGCAATATAATTAATATAATTGAACTGAATTAAATTGGATAATAATGCATTAAAAAATATACTTCCTGTGGTGGCACATCGAACGATACTACTCGTAAATCGACTTTTTTGTACGAATCGATGCATGGAAGGATGAAAAAAATCCCTAAACAAAGCAATTATGAAAAACAATAGCTCTAATGGAACACATTGGCACAAAACATTTCAATGAATAACTTGTTGCAGCACTTTTTAAGAAAAGGCAAAAAAATTACCAGGCCCTTTCGCCCCACCAGCCATAAGCCTACCAAGGCGAAATATCACTGCTCGTTCATATTCTTGGACAACCTGAAAAAAAAATTAATTGCAAAAAAATGCTATGGCAATCAACCGACATCAATCGAAATTGCTAATACGATTATACATAAAACTATAACTTAAATTCTAACCTTAATACATGCGTAAGCAGAGAATGGCAACGTCAGTAGGACTAAAATGTATGCAATAATGGTCAGAATCCATCCACAGAAACCAATCTCTAAAGCCACTGCTGCTAAAATTATGCAACACTAAGAATGCAATAAAATAATAGGTTTTTTTGTAATTTTCTACCATCTGATAAAAAGCACAACTAACTACTTAAATACATAAAACTTGATTTATTTACGAAATTCACGAAATAACACTGGAGAGCTTCTGTCCGACTCTCTGGCGAACAAGTAGTAGTGAGAGGAGTTCGCCAAATCAGAAATGGTGACTTCGTTCTATTAGATGGAGTTTTTCAAGGGGATAAACTATTATCGAAAGAACACAACGAACATAAAGAATATTGCGAAATATTCGGCCGAATTTTGAAACTAAAAGAACTTCAAGGATTAGCTCTAATTCAGATTTATTTACTGAAATCTAGTGGCGCTGAATTCGAAAAACTAACGTTCAAAAGTGAATGACGTTGCGCGCAAAGGTCTCGGTGAATTTATATTGCGGTGCCGTAGTGACATATGAGCGTTCATATTCCTATTCGTCGTCGTCGTATTTTAAAAGTTCAAATAAAAGAAGGCAGAACAGTTTATTCGAAAAGCAAATCTTCGAGATTCTGCGAAGCGATATTGCTTGTTTAATAATAATAAATTTATTCTGTTATTTCATTCGTATTCGATTGGTGAAATCGGCAGATTTGTTTCGTCATAAGTCCGATAATGAGCATATTCTTAACATCCATAAATAATTAAACTTTTATTATTTTTTCCATTCGTGCGATATTTCTCTCATTTGAAATACGTCGAGAAAGATCATCTCGTCGTCATCGAGCTGATTTATTTTCAAAGCAAAATCCTTTCTCGGCCCTTCTGTTTATGTGCAATTATTCAGTTATATCCGAGACAATCAGAAACAATTCGATAAATTTCCTATAATTGAGAAGAAAACAAAAATTCGACGGCTTGAATTCGTTAAGTTTCGAAAGAACCGAAATGATCCAAAATAACTGCCTTTTCTCGCTAAAAACAACGAGAAAATGCAATAAACCATTTGTGGCAAACAACGATATTGACGAAGTCAAACAAACAAATTTGACAAATTGTACATTTAACTACTGCTCTATTAACTTCTCCTTTTTATAATAGGCATGTGACATAATATTATTAAATTCCCTCAAATTCAGCTTAGTTCGCCAATCGCTCAGTCAATAATCATGTGCACGGCTCTTCCCTTATTACTCCTTTGTCTTCCAACGTTTCTGGTTTGGCAGACCGCATTGACCAGTAATGATAATGATGAGAGAGTCCTCACCATTACTGATTGAATTCACTCCACTAGCTTGTCACATTGAGCAATGTGCCAGGGAGTCCCTTGCCGATAGAAATACAGGCGAATCGCTCACTCACTCAGGATCACTCGGATAGTTTCCTGCGGGGAATCGAACCTCAGCATCGGCGCTCCCAGTCGGGCAACAACTCACTGAGCCATTCTACCCCCAGTGACCAATAGGATGAGATGTATGCCTTAAAAGTTTTAAGAAAACTGCTGACAAAACAACATTATCAATAAATAATTCCAATTAAACGCAAAAAAAATATTTGCTTCATTTGAAAAAAACTAAAATATTTACAAATATTTGAAAAAATTTGCATTCAACAACAAAGATCGCATATAATTCGATTGCAAGTGTAATGTTAGAATTTCGAATAAAATGTTTGAATTTGGAGAGCAAAAGGCAGAAGCATTCCACATGTAAATCTTGCAAAAATGCAGGATGCAGGAAATAATGTAATGCAGGAAATGAACCAAAAAAGTAAGAGCGTCCAATGTGAGCACTCCATGAGCTACATAAAAAGGGAATACGGGTGCTGATGCTTATTCTAATTTAAAATGCATTATATGTTTAAAGATAGGCTAAAATGAGAATTACAGGCGATTGTTGCTAAAAGATGGAGATAGGATGGCTTATTGGGTTGTTGGTCAATTCAGAGCGCCGATGCTGAGGTTCTATTTCCCGCAGGAATAAACCTGTACAAAAATCCGGGGTGATGCTGGCGACTCACCTGTATTTCTATCGCCAAGGGGCTCTCTGGCATATTTATCCAATGCGACAGGCCAGTGGAGTTTAACCAGTAATGGCGATTGTTGCTAAAAGATGAGCAGTAACTGAATTAGAAACCCATTTGCTTAAAGCTAAACGATTCCTCAAACTATTTTTTGCAATAAATAATGAAAGCATCGCTTTGCCATTAATATACTCACGATTAAAGGAAGAAAATGAGAAAGGATTTTAGGAAATTAATGAAACATAAAAAAACCTCTCGACAATATTAAAAAAATAAATATATAAAAATAAAAATAATTTAATAAATCGCCTTATAAAAAGGCCAAGCATTTGAAAATTTGGAACATCGTCGTCTATCAACCGTTTCTACTTTACTGATTCTTGCACCAAGGAATCACTTGAGGATGATAGAAGAAAAGAAGAAAAAAAGAAATTATCCACAACTGATTTTGATGCCAGGTTTTCCTCCTTCAGGCTTACTTCTTTGTCAAAACTACGTGTCGTTCCCTTTATTTATCCCTTTATTTATTTATCCCTTTGAGAGAGATTGCATTTACGGATGTCTGACCAACATAAAAATGAAAGATATTGACCACAACTACGACACTGATATGATATTTTTACTGTAATAGAAAATTTCTCTTTACTGATGAAATATATATTTTCTTTTATTTATAAATGGCGAGAAATGGCCATTTTAAGGCTTTTTAAATAAGTAAGTTAATGACGCAAAGACTAGAATCGATAAATCTGTTACGGCAGGCATTTAGATCGGTTAGCTTATTTGTTTGTAAGCCATGGATAGCCGTAAAGCAAGCATCAGCCTTATGAAGAGGATTTTTATGTTTTTATCTTAAGAGTGATTGGATATTTGAGGAAAATCGATGCTCTCAGCTAGATTATAACGATTTATGTCGACCAAAAAAGCTATTCATTATTCAAAACCCCGTTCTTTCTCGTCTTTTTTATTTTTAAAAAGTTTAGAAAGTAAAAATTTTAAAAAGTTTTATTACTTCTCTTTAATATTTGTGGTAAATCCTGAATCCACCGATAAATTAATTTAAAGAATCATTCATGGATTTATTATGAAAGATTTTTTTACCAAAATTTTCACCTAAAACTAATTAAAACTAAACTTTCAAAGCAAAATCATTGGCCTATGCCTAAGATTAGTTTAATTCCTGGTTTAATTCTAAGCCTTGGCCAAAGACTTGGCCATAGCCAAAGCTATTCGATTTCAAACTTGGCTTAGCACTGCTCCAATTCCCCAAAACCATTCATGAATAGACCCTGAAGTTCATAAAATCTTATTTTAGTGTAGCATGTATCGTAAATCGTAAGAGGCACACACTACCATCAGAAATCAAGATAAATCTTATTCTTTCAACTGATTAACTAAACTTGAACAACTTAAAGTAAAAATAAGTGGTGTTGGTTATAGGTGGTTTTTATTGCTACCACCTTTTATTTGAAAAAAGGGTTTTATTTTATAAGTTAGCACAAATACTATTTGGATGAAAAAAGGAATCCTAAATTATTCGCTATAAGGAAAGAAAATCATAGAAAATGGAAAAAATGACGTAAGATTAGGAGTACTGGAATGGTCGAATAACATATTTTTTGACTGAGAACAAGCATTTTACAGGTATGGAAATTATCATCTGATGACATTAAAAATGCCAATAAAAGTAAAATTCAGGTGCCGCATGGAGTTTCAAATTTGAATCTTCTATCCTCAAATGACTATGAGCCATAATTCTTAGTAAAAAAAATTTCATTCTATCACCGAAATCTAATGCCATTTTTCGAACTCTAAACTTCTGCTTTGTAAAACTCCACAAAATATCCCTTCAGCATAGGAAAAATAAAAAATCTAAAATGAAAATAGAACACAATTAATAATGAAAAATTATTTCGTGAAGGATATAAAAGGATATAACAAGTAGTACATAATAATTTATAGGTGCATCCGATCTTACTTCTAATTCTTACTTCTACTTCTGATCAGACTATTTGCTGGCTTGTTAGTATAATTAATATAATAATTTCGTGAGGAATCATGGCGACAAAGATAAAAAGAATTGCCAGTACTACCAGGGTTTTACCACTGTTTAAAAATGCGGAGAAAATGAAAAATAGCTTAAGAAATCATTTATCAATAAAATATAACTTAAAAAGCTAATAAAATTAAAATGGTTTTAACTGCACTCCAAATTATTAAATTTAGCAAAGAAAAAATTTATAACGAAATAGCGAAATGGACTGAAAAAATGATTATGATTATTCAATTCCAACAAAAATTTGCACCTTTTTTATAAAAAAAAATACAAAATAAAAACAAGAAAATATTGTTTTCTAACAGTTCTCACCATTACTGGTTAGGATGGCTCCAACGGATATAAGAGTAAGACGCTTCCAAGCGGTGCAGTCTGATAATATCGTCGACCATTCCTTTTTCCATCGTCTAAGTCCACATATTGCTGGTCCTATATGTTCAAAATCTTTTCAGACCCTATCAGTCCAGGTCTTGATTGATCCACCTAGCTTTTGACGCCAATCATCAAACAATTTAGCAAATAACGAAATATATGTCAACTCTTGTGGTGGACGATGAAGAACATGCCCTAACCAGCAAATACGACGCTCTGTGATAATATTATTTATGCAAGTGATATTTGAACGAAGGTAGATGCGATCATGTGATATGTTATCCGCTCGATGGATTCGTAATATGTAGCTTAGACAAGAGTGGTCAGAGGCAAATCTCATTGGCCATGTCTCAGAACCATATAGTAAGATCGAACGGATCACGGCAATATAGATGCGGACTTTTGTTTTTATGGTGATTTCACGACGATTCCATAAAGGTTTCGTCAACCGGAAGAACGCATTTCTAGCTGCCGTGACTCGAGTTACAATATCATCTTTTGCCTGTCCATTTGGTATTAGAATAGATCCAAGATATCTGAAATCAGGCACTTCCTCAACCGGCACTGAATTTATAAAAAGAGGCATTTTATCAGCTTCTTGCACATAAGACGAAAAGACTTTCGTTTTATCCAGTCCATTATCCAGTCTATCGCATAGTTAAATACTGTAAGGGAAAGGACACAGCCCTGACAGACAACAGTTCTTATTTCGAAGGAGTCTGTCAGCTCCCCATACACACAGACCTGCACCGACATACGCTCATAAAATTCCTTTATGAGTCGAATGAATGATTTTTCTGGAACCGTGGCATTCCATCAGCCTCCAAAGTGGCGCTTTATCAATTGAATCAAAGATAGCAGCAAAGTCGATGAAATACGTGACAGTGGGTTGAAAATATCTGAAGCGATGTTCCAACACTTTTCTTAACGTGAATATCTGCTTAGCAAAATTGCGCGCTGGTCTGAAACCAGTTTGATTAGGGCGCATTCTGCTGTTCCGTACTTCCATAAGCAGCAGGAAAGCAAA